CGTAACACTCAGTAAATTTTACATTTGGCAAAGGATTTCTTTTTTTGCTCTTCTCTCCCCGATCTCATTACTTGGTTATTCAATTCCTCATAAAAATTTTTGTGAAATTTTTTAGGTTGACTATTATAGACAATTAATTGTCAATGGTAGAAGATAATAAATTAAAGAGAAACAAACAAATTATGCAGCTAACATTTCTTCTTTTTTATACTTTTCATTTTATAGTCTAAGTAATAAGAAAATACAGCTGTTACTGTCATTGGCAGCAATTTGCTAGACAAACCTCTTCTAAATGAAATAAAAAACTGAATGCAAAACCTGTAAAGTAACTTAGTATTTGACATATTTTAACAGTTAGACAATTTAAAAAAAGTGTGAGAAATTTCAATAGAACTTCAAAACTTGTCGTTAATAAAGTAAAACGAATAGTTTAAAAGAATAAACCACAGCTTTGCTGATGTAATTTCAGCAATTCAAAAGTGTCTTCTCAAATTTTCTACTCCTTTTTTCTCTTAAACTTTTTTTTGGTTATTTTGACTTGTTCAACTTCGCTTCTTATGCCGTTTACCTTCATTTTTTTGCTATTACCTGCATTCGCTGCTTTTTTAATCAAGATAAAAATATATTAGTTTAGTAGCTATAATTTGGTGACGAGTGGCACTCAGGTGAAGGAAAAAAAACTTTTCTGACAATATGAAAAAACGTTATCTTATTGGAGCACTAAAATTTCGTAAGCATTTTATAGTGTTTCTGGGATTTCAACAGACTCAGCACTACTGAAAAACAGTTATTCAGTGCTATACCGGTGCAGAAGAGGAATAATAAGCGGCGGCGATGACTGCTGTTGATCAACCGTTTAGGATAGATGACTGTTACTGTCAACAGTAACTGTTACTGTTGTTAGTTGCAGTAAATAAACCAATAAAAAAGAAAGAAAAGAAAGAGAGATGAGGTGAATGAAGGTGAGCAAAATAAGTAGAAAAAAAAGCTTCAGACCATAATACACATCTGCAAAATAGTCGTTTATTTGAAGCTGCAAAGGAAAAAAAAAGAGAAGCAGAAGAAAAACGAAGACTGTTTGTTGAGGCCGACCAATACAGCTCTTTGCCTCAGTAATGTCATTCTGTACGTTCCCTTCTCGTTTCTTATTTTTAGTTTTTTATGCTTTATATTTGCTTTCTTTCTATCAATTTATTTCTAAATAATAGCTGACTAAGCTTACACTAATACAACTAGTGCTACTGCAATAGTTGTTTTCTGATCTAGCTAACAGAATCCGATAATGGGTGGTGTTGAAACACAAAAATCTATACCAGTTTTATTGTTTCCTGTTTCTGTAACTCACTCTCAAATAGACCATTCACCAGTTTTGGTGCTCTTCCACTAAAACTTTAGCCTATAGTATTTGAGAATAGCTGTTATGTGTATAACTATAGTCGATTGGTAAACTCTGTCATATATAATCTGTAAAAAAAAGCAGCGAAAAAACTAACAGCTTATATTCCAATAACGACATTTCTCAAGTTGACAAACAGCAATTTGCCGTTAATTTTTTTTTTCACTTTTGGTCGAAGTTTATTGATTATTCAATGTTTGCATTTTACCATTTAAAATTTACCAAGTGAAAAAAGAGTCGAACGATAAGGAAAACAATGACTGAATTAACTTCTTTTCTTTTCCTGCTTTTTCGCTACTTTTATTACATCGGTCTTTTTCCAGTTTTCTTCTTTATTTTTTTATTGACCAAAAAAAATCTTCTGTACATTATTTCACAAGCGTACTGTTGCTGTGTATTTAATTTTTTCCTGTCTTTTCTCTTTTTAAATTAACTTACTGTCTAAAACATAAATTGGCTGTATTGTTGGGCGCAGCACCAGATAGACGATCAAATGTGAAGTCATCAGAACTGGTAAATAAGCAGTAAATTTTCAACATTTAGGATTTAATCATTAATGGTGAGGTTCTCCTAAAAAGTCGGTTTGGCTTATGGTGAGACTGTTTCCTGGCAGTCTGATAACAGTGTCAGTTTATATAATGCAGCTTTCTTTGTGATATTCTCTTTAGGCAGAAATAAAGCTGTTATTGTAGTTTGAAGATTTGTGCATAAAATAAATTTTTTTATGCAATAATTATTACCCCCCAAAAGAAAACAGTGGTGTTTATTGCATAGTTCTGATTATACTCTTGATCTTGTCTATAAATGGAGAAGGAAACTGAATATTGCTAGTGCATGTTTTTTTTCATTTATAGGTAACCCTATCATTACTGATAACTAACACGTTAACATATACGTTGGAATATAAAAAAATTGAATTCGCAACATCGCTGGGTTCTCGGTTTATGCATCAGAACTTTAATTTTTGACTGTAACCTTTGAGGAGTTGTTTTCAGAATCTATTAAATGCAAAGTTTCTTAACTGGAACTTTGGTGCTGTTAAATATTGTTCTTTATTCTAGCATACAGTCTCTAAATAGCAATTTAGTAAATAGATTGAATCTTTTAAGCAGCTGAAGACCTAAAACAATGTCAAAAAAAAAAAAGAAAAACACTGAGAAACCTAAGAAAATTTATGACATATTAGTTTTTTTATACAGAATACTAAAAAACCGGTAAAATTAGAAGTAAAAATGGCAGCAATTTTTTTGCTCCGACTACAGTACTGCGTTGAGAATGAATATAACACTTTGAATTTTTTTACCACTTCTATTGTCTTTTCTTTTTTGTTACCACATTGGCTACAAAAATTCTTTTTGTTAAACTGCTTATTCAGCTAAAGAAAAAAAGCAAAAAAATTTCTTGCCTTTATGCAATCATATTTTTGAAGGAAATGGAAGAATAAACGATAAAAAAGTTAGAAAAAAGAGACCGGAGCAAAAGAAGCGAATAGATTTTTTGATTGCCAATTTATTTATTTATTTATTTTTTCTTTTTGTCGATAGTTTTTGAGAATTGCTACATCTACTTTTTTCTGTTTTTTTTTTCCATTGTTTTGCACCCAATTTTGCTTTGTTCTGCTTGCTGTCTGATGTTTGAAAACTGAAAGAAAATTCAAGAAAAATAAAAAAATAAAAGCATTACACCAAATTTTTCGTGTTTTTCAATTAACCTGTTTAACATTTTACTGTCGTCTATTTTAAAATTGAAAATTTTCTACTTTACTTTTACATCTACTTATTAATTATTAAGCTGTAACAAGAAATACAGAAGATACATTTGTTGTTAACGTTTTTATGACGGTAAATTGTTTGATGGTCATTTGCAAAACTCTGCTAAACGATTTTATTCTTTAACAAAACTTGAACACTACATTTTGATTATCAGTGATAGACAATAATTGATCAACGCTTAATTCGGATACAGTAATTTAGTTGATTGTTGTTTAGTTTAAACTTCTAGCAACTTTTTTATCCTCTCCATTGTTGCATTGCTGTTTTGCCGGTACTCAGTTGTAGAGACAATAATTTATCATTGGATTTAAAAGATAAATATCGTAAACACCAACCAGCTTGTAGACTATCGGTTGTGTTTAATCAAATTGCATTCTCTGCACACTGCATTTTGTTCACTCAACTGAGCACCGCAAACTGATCACATTACCTGTGGACAGTGGGCGAGGCTTACAGCAGTCTACCAACGTCAGTTAAAATTCTATGTATCCACTGGTACCAGTACTTACCTTATTCTGGTAACTAACACTTTTTTTCAGCTATTAACAAATAAATTAAGCAAAGAAAAAAAAAAAGACTGCGATCTCACCAATAGATATATTTACTGTGACTTCAATGGCTAACAATCTCTATTTTCTTTATTAATCTACTCAAACACACTAAAATACATCAACGACAACCATATTGCCTTTCAACTTCCACCTTATTCGTCTTTCTTCTAATCATCTGACCTATCAAAGTAAAACTAATGTCTAAACTGATTTTTATACTTTTATAACAAAATTTTTTTTTTCTTGAAAAAGTTTTTAGAAGAAAATTTAAAAATTGCAAAAAAAAACATACATTTCTTATTCTTATCTTTCTGCTTTTTTTTTTTT